CCTGGATAATCTGCACTAAGATGTCTCTAAGCTAGTAGAAAGTTCCTTCCCCCGCCTTTCAGACAAGCCTCTCCCGTTGAACTCTTTATAACTCTTGTTCTAAGCTTGTTGTACAGACGTGGCAAATTCTGATAGGCCACCTCCTCATTGCATCTGCCTGACTGTCTTCTGGAAAGCAAACAAACTAACTTTTCAGGACAACTCCCAGCATCTGGCTAACTTCACAGGAGCCCGCCCTCCCTTGTCGCTTAGCAACAGCCTGCCCTTTCTAGGCCAGCCACTTTCTCTGCCCCCTCGCGCTGATCCCATCAATGTCCGGCCCTTTCCTCCTTTGGAAAGTAAAATACATTTCCTCACTGTATCTCTTTTCTTAGTTGTGAACTCTCTCACAGCTCCAGTCAACAGCCCAAACCCTAACAACTGGTATGACAGTTTGCGGAAATGTCCTAGAAAGAAGGCAAGGACAAAGAAATAACAAATTTAAAAAGCTTCCAGAACAAAACAGAATATACAAAGGAATACAAATCAGCCCTGGCCGGGTAGCTCAGCTGGTTAGAGCATCATCCCGATACACCAAGGTTGTGGGTTCAATCCACGGTCACAGCACATACAAAAAGCAACCAACAAATGTATAAATAAGGGGAGCAATAAAGCAATGTTTCTCTCTCTCTCTCCTCCCCCCTTTTCTTTCTAAAAACCAATAAATTTTTAAAAAATCAAAACACAAATCAGACAGATTTCCAACTGCAAAACTGGATGAGAAACTAAGACAATGGAGTTCTATTTCCAAGACTGAAGAAAAATAAATCTAAAGTTTTATATTCAACAAAACTGCCATTCGTGTATAAAGGCATGGTTCCCAGGCATACAGCCTCAAAAGTTTGTCTCACAAACCCTTTGAAAGCAGTTTGGGTTGAGGTACTTAATAAAGGGACAGAAAAATCTAAAAAATGCTGTAAGAGATGTATGGAGAAAGGGTGATCAAATACCTTGATACAGTCTATATTATCTTTTTGAAAAAATGAATAATATCCCAGTCTGGGCAACAGTAACATGATGGGGGTAGAAGGGAGGAAGTTCTTTTCCTATTAAAGAAGATATTTGGATATCAAATCCTTTAATTGAAAAAAAAGAGAAAGGATTAAAATGAAAACTGAAATAATAAATTATGATGGCAGAAACAGATTTAAGTAAAATAAATTATAATACATGTAAATCCAACAAAGTCCAGATATATACTATTTCAAGAGACAGGTATAAAACATAGGACATGTAAAGGTTGCAAAAGATGAAGAAAGGACACCAGGCAGTTATGAACTGAAGAGATTTTGTACAGTTATATTAATATCAGTATACACAGACTTTAAGGAACTTACTTTGGGGTGACTAGATAACACCCGAGATAGTGAGAGCTGGTGGCCGATGAGAGAATGTGGTGGGGCTGGAGGGGAGGTGAGGAGCCTAGGTCTTTGATGGCTCCCCATATCCTGTGTCTAGTCCCTCGTGAAACCACCCTACTCCTCTGGCTTTCAGTTCTTTAAAATAAGCAGGTATTCTTCCAATAATCTCCCTCCTTTCCTTAAACTGACTGAAGTAGACTTCTTCCAACTTCCTTGCAACCAAACGGTTTTACTACAACAGTGCCTTCCCCGTGGGCACTCAGGAAATGTTCTGTAACTAAAGAGAGGCCCGAAGAAAACGAAGAGCAGACTCACCATCATCAGGTTTCTTCACAAACTTGACGCCCAGTTCTTCAAATCTTTTGCAAGCACCGTGTACGTCAGGAACAGCAATTCCAATGTGACCTTAGGTGGCACCCCCAAAACAAGGCAGAGAAAAGGAAGACATCATTACAGCAGGGTAGCCAAGTGCCACAAGTGGCTTCCAAAACTAGCATATTTCATAACAAAAGGCATCCAAAATCAGACTGAACCAAGTAGGTTCAAAAACTATAATATACAGGATGGGGCAAACGTTAGGTTTACAGTTGTTTATATGGAAAATAATACAGTAAATAATAATCATTCAAGAATAAACTCTGTGTTTCACATACAACTGTAAACCTGCTTTTGCCCCACCCTGTATTAACAAGAATCTAAGTCTAGCCCTGGCCCGTGGCTCAGCTGATTAGAGCATTGGTCCCATACACTAGGGGTAGGGAACCATTTTTTTTGCCAAGGACCATTTGGGTATTTATAACATCATTGTCGGGCCGTAAAAATTATCAACTTAAAAATTAGCTATGAAGAGAGCTCCTAGATTTATTGAATTTCGAGTCCTGCTTGTGGTTGCCTTTGCAGGACCTGACCAAATGTCTTCTCGGGCTGTATATGGCCCACGGGCCAGACATTCCCCACCCCTGCCATATACCAAGGTGGTGGGGTTGATCCCTGGTCAGGGCACAGACAAGAAGCAACCAATGAATGCATAAATGGCTGGAACAACAAAATCAATGTTTCTCTCTCTCAAATCAATAAATAAATAAAAATTTTTAAAAAAGAACCTAAGTGTAACTGGCTGGGTATAATGATTTAGTCATACTTAATAGGTTCATGGTTGACACTGACTATATAGCAGCCAATTTAAGCCTGTAATGCCGTTATCTCTACTGAAAGATTTTATAGTTCAAGGCAGAAGTGTATGCTAGCAAAAACCATTATTATTAAGCATAGTTTTTGTTTTTTTAAATTAAAAAGTCTACTGGAAATATAACACACACATTGAAAAATAAAATCACTCTGAGAGAGATATAAAGTTTAGACTGAGGCTATGAGATTAAACAGCCCCTAAATAAAATTATTTGTGCAAATAAAAATAACCATACTCCTAATAAATTAAGTCTTAGATTTGTTACAATCATAAATAGGTACACAATGCAAAAAGCACACAAACCCATATACATTACATGCAAACAGGGAAACATACCAAATCCTCGAGGGTCTGAGTTGCCACTGTGGTAGCTCTGGGTCTCGTCATCCTCAGTGCCCCAGTTGCTATAAAGGGAGGGGAAACACGATTACAACTGACCTGGAGAACAGATATTCTGAAAAGAGTTGCAGCAATCTGTCTTTAAAACCTTAGCATATATATATATATGCATGTAACGTACGTAAATATATTACTTACTATACTTGGTCTAATCTCTGCTATTGTAAATGTTAAGTTTTCAACTAGGGAAAGAGCAAACAAGGAAAGCGTGATTTTAACTAGACTACGAAGAGTAAACAAGGCATCTAGATAACAGTAACAAAAGCACCTAATGTTTATTGTGCTGATTAAATCCTCACAACAGCTCCATGGGCCATACTTGAGTCTCTCCATTTTATAAATGAGGCTGTCACTTAAGGAAGTGACATAACTTGTTCAGGGTCGCAGAGCTATTGTCAGAGTCAAGACTCATGTCTAGGTCTGTCTGATTCCAGAGCTGTTTTCAACCAGGGACACACTAAATCATACACCCTGAAACAAACACTGTTGTTCACCGGTTGTTAAAGAGAGCACAGAAACAACATATGGAATAAAGAGAAGGGAGAAACCTACTTTAACATTTTATGAAGACTTAGTTGTGGTGCCTAAACATTTGTTAGATATAGTTTGGCAAATACCTGGCCATTTCGGTCTTAGATCCTCTATGTAGAAAGCAAGTGACCTCACTTGTCCTACCTCTGCCACAAGAACAACGCAAAGACTAAGGATCCATGAACAACACTCCAACATACTATTATAAATGCCGTTTAGGTCGGCCAGGTTTGAATTAAGCTGGTAAGGAAAAAAGGTATAAGAAAAAAAAGCTTGTAAAAAGTGCAGAACATATACAAAGCTGAAAACTCATACTTACTGTGTCAGTTCAAGCGTAGCTTTCCTGGAAAACACCCATGCTACTTTTTCATCTTTATCTTTTGGGATGTCATTTTTATCCTCATAAGCCAAGAAATAGAGTGAAAATTTCATAGTGGGAAAATCTAATTTTTGGAGTAGCCTGAAATTAAACAACAAGCCAGAATTAATTAACAACAGGAGAGGTCGATTCATACTAAAATCAACATAACAATTTTCAAGTTCCACTAAGAATAAGACATGGGTTTAGTGAGGCCATTTTGATAGAAAAAGCAGGGTAAACCAATGAAAACGATCTCATTTAAAAAAAACTATTCAGCCCTGGCCAGTGTGGCTCAGTTGGTTGGAGTGTCATCCTGTGCACCAGTCCTGGTTCGATTCCCTGTCAGGGCACACATCTGGTTTTGGGTTCGATCCCTAGTCGGGGTGCCTACAGGAGGCAGCCGATAGATTCTCTCTCACATTGATGTCTTTTTCTCTCTCTCTTCCTCTCCCCCTCCCTCCTTCTAAAATCAATAATAATTAAAAAAATATGACCTCGGGTGATGATTAAAAAAAAAACCCCAACCTATTCATCTGTAAATATCAGTGAAATAAAAAAAAATTTTAAAAAGCAAACTTTTATAATTTGTCAATTCTTCAAATATCATTAATTCTTCAAATATAATGACACTTAGCTGGAATTATGGTACTTGTTTATAAATGCCAAAAGGTATCTTCAAAAGAAAATGTTATTTTCAGTGAAAAATACAATGTATTACTAAATTGTCCTTTCAGATATATGACATTCAGTTAAAAAAATAAATGCACTGATAGTATATGACTTTCTAACCACTAACCTGGACTGGACATCTGAAACTAATACAAACAACATTAAATGTAAACTGTAATTGAAAAATAAAATTTAAATTAAAAAATAAAAATAAAAAAGAGAAAATAAATAAATAAATGCATTAACTTCTTACTAAGCCAAAACTTCTAGGAAAAATATTGAAGATACAAGGTAAGAGAGAAGAAAGGACAGATTACTATCACAGAAGGTGTGAATGTCAGCAGTTAAGCGGTTAACAGCATCAAAACCTGCAGGAAGGCCAACCAGGAGTGAGACTGAGAACAGGTGACCAGGCATGGGAAGGTCCTGGGGCAGCACTGGACTGGGAGCGAAGGGGAGGGGGCAGTCACAGAGCTGGTCCTCTTGCAGGGCTGGGCGAGGTGGGAAGGAGCCGGGGGCAGGGCAAGGACTCTCCTCCAATAGAGAAGACAAGCTTCTCTGTAGGCCGCGAGGAAAGTCAGTGGAAAAGGAGACTGACAGGAGAGGAAGGGTGGACGATGGCTAGTCCTGAAGTTTTAAAGGGAACTGAAGTTACGGCCTATAAAGCGAGTTTGGAGCATGAGAGGCTTTTGCAAGGAGTCGGGTGGAATGGGGGTGCATCCAGCGCCGCGCTCCTCGGACTCCGGAGGGTTAAATGCTCCAAGGCGGCCTCATTTATAATCCAAGGAGGGAATGACTGAAGCACAGCAAGTGAAAAGTTTCCAGAGTTCTCCGAATCTTTGCATTACCTCTGCCGTGCAACATGCCGTGGTGCACCGAAATCCCCGCACTGACTTATCAGATTTACTCTACGTATCTGTTTATAACAGAGAATCAAGCACCGCAATCAAGACGCGGCCTCTGCCCCTGACGCAGACCTCAGGCCCTGCAGACCAAGGGTGGGAATGCGCACTCGGCCCAGCTGAAACCTGCTTTCTCAGCTGAGCGCCTCTCTCAGAACAACGGCTTGGGGGCTTTGAAAAACAAGGTCAACCCTGGAGTCAGTCAGACCCGGCTTCAAATTTGGGGCCAGTAGCTTAATGGTTAAGCTTTGCTTTCTTCCTTCATGTGTAAAGGGCAGCGACCTTACAGGCCTGCTCTGAAGAGGGAATGGAATACCCTGTAAGACGCCTGCACACGGCAAGTGTGCAGTTTTCATTCTGTCCTTTACATATGCCATGAATATATGCAAAATACTTTTTCTGAAAAAGATTAAAAAAATTGTTTACAGCAGTTACCTTTTGGGAGAAGAACTGGGAGAGGGAGCTTATTACTTTTCATTTTGTATTTTTCTGAATTGGTTGGATTTTCTAAACAGACATATACCGTATTACCCAAACTTTTCTCTCAATGTCAATGGATTATCTATGCAGTAAAGATCATTTTACTCTTTATCTGTATTATCAAAAGCAAACAGAAAACCTCAAATCAAGAAAAATGAACAGGCGCTCTCCCTCCTGGGAGCACGCCGAGCCTTTCCTGCCCCCCCCCAAGCGCCAAGGGCCTTCCTGCCTCTGTAACTTGTTTCCCAGCCTACACAGCCCAGCTGCTCACTACTGCTACCTCTGTAATGTTCTACATAAATTTTCTCTTATAATTTGAAAAATAAAAATAAATACACTTTAAGAATTACAAGATCAGTGGGTATTACCTGTTTAGCAAAAGAAAACACATCCTGTAAAAATGGGACAGGTGGCCAGTTTTAGATAAACTCATTCATTTTCTAAGATATATGTCTTTATGTCTATGTATTTTCTGAAGTAAACAAGAGGCTAAAAGTGGTTATAGCATCCAAAGGGTCTAAGACACACTACGGATTTTACTGGCAGCTCTGAGAGAAGGGAGTTGGAGAAAATACAAGTACTGGTGTCCCGCTGCCCAGTGAGCCTGGCTGGGACAGAGAGGAACTTGCCAGAAGCCCTGGCCAGGCAAGCCTAGTGCCAGACTGCTGGCCACAAGGACTTTTGTGACTTATGAAGCAAACTTTCACCCATTTTTAAAAATAGATCTGAAAACATTCCCTATATTTGCAAAGCTATGTATTTAAAAATTACAGGCCCCAATAAACAGTTTACTTACGTCATTCCAAGAACTCTAGTATAAAAATCCAAAGACTTCTTAGGATCCTTAATTCGCAGCATGGTCTGCTGCAACAGAAAATCCTAAGGAGAAACAGTATATATTAAATACCTTTCAGTTTTACCACTTGTTCTCAACATTAACTGTGCTTTCTATAACAAGATGCAAACAGTCTACCACTGTAACATAATGTTTAAGAAGAAAACTTTGTTCCTTCTGCCTACCATGGAATCACCTGGAAACTTGTGACCAGAAAATACCTAAAACTTGGGCTCTCTGCCCAATGGTATTTTCTGGTCAGAAGGGTGGAGCAGGACCCAAGTACCAGGGAGTTTACACCCCAGGAATGACCGTCAACCAATAACGGATAAAAAACCTGGCTTCCTTGCCCCTTAGTGGGACAATTCTGAGGCAGGTTCCAGTCTCTCGGAGGCGTCCCAGCAAGACGGAACACAAATGCCCTCACTCTTACACACTTTGTATCGCCTCTGTTCCCCACTCCAGAGATTGCTTTGACTACCTCCCAAAGAAACTACTGAGAACCAAACCCTTATCTCCAGTCTGCTTTCGGGTATCCCATTACAGAGTCCAATCACCACTGTAAAATTTGTTGAATGAATGCATAAGTGCCCTTACAGAACTATTTATTGGGAATCATAGCAAGGAGTTACAAGATTCTAAACTCCTAAGTAACTAAAAGGGTAAAAAGTTACTGTCTCTAACACCATTGTGAAAATGTCCAATTTAAAAATCAGGAAACAAAAGGACTGATTTGACTGATAAAAGGGTAGATCGTATAATCCATAGAGTTAAGATTATTATTAGCATTAATAATTTGCCTAGGGGGTCTGGCATCATTAGGGGATTTAACTTCATTAGGTACTTAACTATGAGGTATTTATATCCTATTTAATAGATGAGAAACATATTGAGGGTGATTAAATTAATTGTCCCAACTTTCAGGTCTTCTACCACAGATGTCTTCCAGACCATGAGCCTGTTAACTATGTTTGTACTTCCTAACATTTTTATTCTTGTCATACCCAAGGACTTGACAAGACATGCCTGAAAATTATGACCTCTCCCTTCACAGCCACACAGACATCTCTCCCCATGACTCACATCATACAAAATACAAGTATACTTGATTCATTCAGCATCATTCGGAAATTATGTTTTTATTTGCTAAATTTTTGAGTAACCAAATTGTACTCTTATTGCAAGCATTAAAATGCTCATTGAAAACAAAACTAGACTAAAAACTATCTTAATAAGCTGATCTTAATGACTGTAATAGCTTAATTCGTCATTCACAGCTTATAACCACATAGAAGGCAGCTGGCTCTGAAGTTACATTTCTAGACTGTTTGGATAGCTTTTCTCAGTCAAGCGCTACACTCCTCTAAGTCTCAGTTTCAGCCAACAACGGAAAAAGAGAGAAGCCGCTCCTGACATCCAGGCACTGGCCTGGCACTCACGATTAGGCCTTGGTTCCTCCCGCGGAACATACCTGCAAATACACCTACGAAGCTGCCCTGCGACTGCGATGAAGTGATACAGAAATAAAAGCTGCAGAACCAATTCCGCTTCATACTCCTGTTCCAGCCGAGATAGTCCCCTCTCCCAGCGAACGTGAGTGACCACGGCTTCTCTCAGTTGCAATGTTTGCTTGAGGCAGGCTTCGGACCAAAACACGGGTCCGACCACAGGCAGTTAGGAAGGCTGTGCTGCTTCATAATTAAGCTGTCCCGCTACTGATCCCTTTCACAGCCATGGTGTTCTCATGTGAAGAGAGTGAATAAAGTCTCTACCTGGCAGGCCTCACGGGGACAGCTGTCTCCCTCACACCAGACGCAATGCACAGCCAGTGCACTGCAGTCTCTGGAGGTAGTTGCAGGAAAGGACTACATTTTAAAGATGTTCCTGGTTATTCTGTCAAACACTAATTGCTGCTGTGACAAACTCTGTAGATGGAATTAAGGTAACTTATCAGCTGACCTTAAAATATCCTGGATTATTTGGGTGGGTTCAATGTAATCCAATGAAACATTAAAAATTGAAGAGGAGCCCGGCCACGCGTGGCTCAGCAGTTGAGCGTCGACCTAGGATCCAGAAGATCACGGTCCGATTCCTGGTCAGGGCACATGCCGGGGTTGTGGGCTTGATCCCCAGCAGGGGGCGTACAGGAGGCAGCCGATCAATGACACCCTCATCACTGATGTTTCAATTCTCTCCCTCTCCCTTCCTCTCTCTGAAATCAATAAAGATATATATTAAAAAAAAAAAATTGAAGAGGAACCCAGAAGAGACTGAGAGATGGCAAAAAAGGTGGAAGCAGAGAGGTGTGGCAGGAGAGGAAGTCAAATTCCAAGGGTGAGAGGATTCAATGTGCCATTGCTATCTCAGAGATGTAGGGGCACATGTACAAAGAGTTAAGGATGACCCCCAGCTGACAGCCAGCAAAGAAATCAGGACCTCAGTCCTACAATGGAAAGGAACTGAATTCAGCCAATAACCTGAAGGAGTCTAGAAGGACTTTCCCCCAGAGACTCCAGTGAGGAGTCTGTTTTTTTATTATTTTTTTGTTGCTATTGTTTTTAATTGATTTTAGAGAGAGAAGAAGGGAGAGGGAGAGAGAAACATTGATGTGAGAGAGAAACATCAATCAGTTGTCTCCCATATACACCTGGATAGGGGACCGAACCCACAACCTGGGCACATGCCCTGACTGGGAATCGAACCAGCAACCTTTCAGTGCACAGTATACAATGCTCAACCAACTGAGCCACACCAGCCAGGGCTATTTTTAGTTTTTTAATTTTAATTTTTTTTCAATCGAAGTTGACATTCAATATTATACTTATTTCAGGAGTACAGCATAGTGGTTAGACATTTATATAACTTACAAAGTGATCCTCCCGATAAGTTTTGTACCCACCTGGGCCAATACACACTTACTACAATATTATTAACTATATTCTCTATGCTTCATTAGACAATTCTTAACTTTCTTTTTTTTTTTGTCACCCAAGGATATTTTTTCCATTGCTTTTCAGAGAGAGTGGAGGGGGGGAGAGGGAGAGAGAGAGAGAGAAAAAAAAAGAGAGAGAGAGAGAAACATTGATGTGAGAGAGACATCGATTGGTTGCCTCCTTCATGCACCCCGACCAGGGCCGGGGATTGAGTCTGCAACTGAGGTATGTGCCCTTAGCTTGAATCAAACCTAGAATCCTTTAGTCCGCTGGCCGACGCTCTAACCACTGAGCAAAACTAGCCAGGGCGGACAATTCCTAACTTTGTCTTTCCCTTACCATGTTTTAAACTGGGAACAATAAATGTAAGGTGTTTTTAATGCCTAGAGTATCTTTATGTTTTCTGGGATGACTACTAGGTAACAAAAGTTTGTTCCTCTGCCTCATAAAAAGGAAAAATAATACAAATAATCAGGTTGGGGGAGTGGGGAGCATTCTCCAAATTTAATTAACTCAAAACTAATGTGTAAAAACTTTAACAGTACAATCAAGGATGTTTCTAGTGCATGTCCTATGTGCCTACAATATAACCCTGACAAAATTATAAAGACAGGGCAGGGGGTGAACCAAAGGGTAAACATCCCTTTGAGTACCTCTAAATGGACCTGTGTGTGTACAAGATGTGACACTTAGGAAAAAATTCATTTGTACCTATGGATGTCCAAGTGCTCCAGCACCATTTGTTGAAAAGGCTATCCTTTCTCCATTAAACTGCTTTCCTATTTTTGTCAAAAATCTGTTGGGCCTATTCTGGGTTCTCCATTTTTTTTTTTTTTTAAATATATCTTTATTGATTTCAGAGAGAGGAAAGGAGAGGGGGAGAGAGAGACAGAAACATCAATGATGAGAGAGTCATTGATCGGCTGTAGCCCGCAACCCGGGCATGTGCCCTGACTGGAAATCGAACCCTGATCACCTGGATCCTAGGTCGACGCTCAACTGCTGAGCCACGCCCAGCTGGGCTGGGTTCTCCATTCTGTTCCACTGATCTGTGTCTACCTTTCTGCCAATACCACAGAATAGTGATTACTGTCGTTATATAGTAAGTCTTAAAAAGCAGGTAAAGTAATTCCTTCCACTTTATTCTTTTCAAAATGATCCTAGTTTCTTTGTCTTCCATATAAATTTTAGAATACTGCCTATAAGTTTTTATAGGGATTGTGTTAAACATGTGCATTAGTTTGTGGAGAATTAACATCTTTACTATGCTGAGTCATCCAACCATGAACATAGTATGTCTCTCCATTTACGTAGACCTTTCTTGATTTCTTTTATCAGCACTGGGGGATTTTCAGCATACAAGTCCTATACATGTTTGTTAGGTTTATACCTAAGTATTTAATTTTGTTGAGCAATTGCAAATGGTATTGTATTTTAAATCTTGGTGCTCATATTCTTTGTTAGTATATAGAAATATAATTAGCCCAGCCGGGAGTGGCTCAGCAGTTGAGCATCGACCTAGGATCCAGGTGATCGGGGTTCAATTCCCAGTCATGGCACATGCCTGGGTTGCGGGCTCCATCCCCAGTTGGAGTCGTGCAGGAGGCAGCTGATCAATGGCTCGCTCATCATTGATGTTTCTATTTCTCTATTCTCCCTCTTTTCTCCTCTCTCTGAAATCAATGGAGATATATATAAAAAAAACACAATAGATTTTTGTATGTTTATGTTGTATCCTGTGACCCCCTGAACTCATGTATTAGTTCTAGAAGACGTTTTTGTAGATTTCGACAGGGTTTCCTATATAGAGACTTGTCATCAGACAATTAGGGACAGTTTCATTTCTTCCTTCCAATCTGTATGACTGTTATTTCCTTTTCTTGACTTACTGCTCTGGCTAGAATTCCTAGCATTATGTTGAATAAGAGTAGTGAGAGCAGACATCCTGGGCCTCATTCCCCAAAATCAGGAAGAAGCCATCACCGGTATAATGTTAGCTGTAAGGCTTTTATAGATGCTCTTTATCAAGTGGAAGACGTTCCCATTCCTATTTTTTCTGAAATAAAAAAAACTAATCATAAATGGTATTGAATTTTGTCAAATGCTTTTTC